CTGAAAAAAAAAAAAAAAAGAAAGAAAAAACTTGATGCAGCAGGTCTGCAGATGGCTGGCGGGGCAGGACCAAGCGCCAGATTTGGCAACCCCCAAAGCGATCCGTGGCTTTGGTGTTGGTGCAGCCAGGGGCTGCAGTGCCGGGGCTCAGCTCCAGCACCTCAACACGTCCCTTGCCAGCTCGGCTGGACCCATCTGCCACAGTGCCTTTAGTAACCGTCCCAGGAACAGAGGAGTTAACACAGGAGTGCAAGAGTTCCACTCGTGTTTTCTTTCTGAAATTCCCTTCAGGCTGGGCCATGGCATGGGCTGGGAGCCACCGGGGATGGGACACAGGGGCTCTGCTCCACCGCAGCAATCTGTGTGTTTGCCTTGGCAGATCCCAGCCATGATCTCTCTCTTTCTTCTGTTTGATAGCACAGACACCAGCAAAATCCTGTCTCTAACGTGAGATTTTCGAAGTCTACCAAGCAAACACTGGTGAAGGCTGGGCATGGTGGTTCTCTTCCTCTTAGCAGCTTTGCTGCACGGTGAGTTGCCAAGAAACCAGCTCTGCAGCCTCTTACACTGACGAGAACAGACAAAGCTGGAACTGGGGACATGGCCACAGCCCTGGCTAAACCCTCCCTAGGACACTAGCCACCTCCACCTGCAAAATGCAAACTGGACAAACCTCACCGCCCACTAGAAATCTGCAGAGAGCTAGCAGAGGCATGGCAAGAGCCAGGAAGGAGAATCCCAGCCCTGCCTTGCTCAGCGCTGCAGGCGGCCGCTTGCGCCTGTGCAACGTGCCTGCAGGGAGAAGAGAGGTGCCAGATCAGGCAGGGTTTGCAAATGCCAAAGGTTATTCTGAGATGCTTGCTGTTAACTGCTGCCCTTGACATTGAGCTCCAGGCAGCAGTCGGGGCTGATGGGGGCTTGGAGTCTCCTGTAAAGGACATTGAGGGTTTCCCCACCTGTATCGTGGCACAGGGCAGCTGGTCTGTGCCACCAGTTATCCTCAGGCAGGTGATGTGGCACCCAAGGAGGGTAAAACATGTCCAAAATAAACTCTGAATTTCCTGAGCCAGATGTCCCCCTGGTGCCACTCGCAATCACGCCCCTGACTCGGAGCTATGCTGGTTTTTGTCAGGCGGGGATCTGGTTGTCTGTGAGTTACCAACAACTTCTATTTCTTTCTTTCCCCCAAAAGAGTCAGTTTCAAGCATCTTGTACGGATCCAGTTTTCTGGCAGGTGGGGTTGGAGGGTCAGTCACCCACCAGTGCTTTTACTCCATCACACCAGCCAACAAACACAGCCGAAAATATTGGTGCAAAACAGCAAGGAGCGGAGTTTGCTTCACCATCATTTCTTCCACCGGCTACACCTCAGAAGACCACGCGGGGCGAGTGTCTCTCGAGGATGTCCCCCAGAAAGGCACCTTCATGGTGACAATGACAGAGCTGAAGAAGAGCGACACGGGGACCTACCGATGTGGCATCGGCCCCACCAACACAGGTCTCTACGTCAGCCTGAACCTGACGGTTTTGGCAGGTAGGATGCTGGCAGGGGCAAAGGGGGGCTTGCAGCCCGGGGACAGACGCTGGAGGGTCCGTGCACAGCAGGCACATCGACTTTTTCTAACCTGTGCTATTAACCAAATATTTGCAACCACGGTGTCTGAAAGTACCCGGATTTGGCCAGATCAGCTGCTCCTAAATGTAAAAGGAAAATCTCTCCTGCCTGGCTGGGGGCTGGGCACTGTCTGCCATGCTCTCTCTCTACAGATGCTGGTGAGTCAGAGCCGATCGAGCTCATCCCTGGGAAGCTCCGTGGCTCTGTCATGGTCCTGTGCCCACCTGGGGACAGCCAAGGTGTCAAGAAGAGGCTCTGGTGTAAACTGGGGACAACTGGATGCACCATCATTGCCAACACCGATGGCTATGTCAGGAAGGATTATGATGGACGAATCTCGATCACCCCTCAGGAGAGCTCTGGAGCTTTCAAAATCCTGATAAATGATTTAAGAAAGGAGGACTCGGGGCTGTATGAGTGCAGGATGGGAAGACTCAGCAGTCGGGACAACCCACGAGTGGTGGCTCTGCAGGTGACCGCAGGTAGGACGGGGCGCTGGGGGCTGCGCAGGTTCCTCACAGCCCCTGTTGAGGAGCACGAAAGTCTAACAGAGTTCTCTCCAACCTGCAGCCTCCACGCTTCCCAAGAGACCAAAATTCCTCAGCAGCACGGTCGGAGGCTCGCTGTCCGTGAAGTGCCACTACGATCCCAAGGGGAACTACGAGAAGAAGTACCTGTGCAGGTGGAAGGAAGCCAGCTGCTCGCTGCTCCTGGATGCTGACGGGTTTGTGCACGAGTCCTACAAAGGGCGAATACAAATAGCCAGCAGCGACCAGGAGAACGGGACTTACACGGTGGTGCTGAGCCACCTGAGAGAGGAGGATGCAGGGTGGTACTGGTGCGGGGCTAAAAACGGGCGCACGGAGCACACGTCGTCTGTGAAGCTGCTCATCCAGAAAGGTGGGTGGCGAGATGGCTTGGAACAGAATGAATCCCTTTCTCTTTCCAAATCAGTCTCTCCTCTACCCCTTGATGGGCGTGAGAATAGACTCCTCTTTGTACTGTACATAATTATAACAACAGTAAGAGAAACATCAGCCACGCATTTTGCCTTACAGTTATGGGCAAGTAACTGAGGGGATGGTAAAGGTTTTCAGAGGCAGGGGTGTACACTGAGCTTTCAGAGGAAATGCAGTTTGTTTGAATTATACTGATGTTTATTTATGATGCATAACCCCAGCATGCATCATCCTGATCCTAGAAGTGCAGCTCAGAGAGGAGTGCTTTGCTCTGAAGGTAAGCTGAAGGCTGTCTTGCAGTTTTAGAAATTGCAATGTGTAAATACGGCGGGTCAGAAATAGTGGGGTTAAAGCACGGATGCATTAATGGGTTTTCATTAGTCCTCCCAAGCTGCTTTCTGTAAGACTCCAAGGAAAAAAAAATGCTTGGGTTTGGTCCTATTGGGATTTTTTTCATGCCCAGATGCAACATGAAATGCATAAATAAAAAAACAAGTTACCTCTGCCAGAATGGTGGATAACGAAGCCTCGAAATAATTTTCTCCGTAGAAACCTTCTCTTCACAAGACCCAGAAACATCCACTCTTGTGAAACCCACTTTATCAAGTCCAGCCACCCATAGCACACCCAGGCAGAGGAGCACCACGGGTCTGAAACACGCGACGGCCACCGTTCCCGGCAGCACCAGCGCCCTGCTGCCCACCACTGCCTTCCCCAGCGCCTTCGGAACTTCCCCCAGCACCTTCATAACTTCCCTCAGCGCCTCCGTAACCTCGCCCAGCACCTTCATAACTGCACCCAGAGCCTTCGTTACCTCTCCCAGCAAAATCTACTCCGAGAGGCAAGTTGATGGCCACGGTTCTCGTTGGCACTAACTTAACTGTCTATGACCTGTCTGCCCCATGTCCCAGGGCCCTGCGCAGGTTGTGCAAAGGCTTCAGGTTGGAAGCATTAAGAGGAAACATTAATAATTAGAGAAGCAGAAGGCAAGGTCATTTCGTGTCTATCTACGGCACGTATCTTTGAACTTGTCTCTAAACCCCCTGGTGCGGGCCATTCCTGCAGATCGGATGCCAGGGTCAGTAGATGTGCTCCTGCCTGTTTTCCTCTGCTCAGGATGGAGACAGGGCATTAGGAAACATCACGCTTGAGCAATAACACTGGTGAATCAGTAGCTGCTCCAGACTTCACCACACACTCTATCCAAGCCACTGTAGGCAGGCAGTAACCCGGGCAGTGTTTGGGTGCTCTGCATTGCACAAGGAGCTACCTTTGGACAGGGTTAATCAGAAGGCTGGCAGCTATTTTGGCCGCTAACTATTCCACAGTATTTCTAGACAGAAAGCCCTGCGGCTCACCCCAGTGCAAGTGGTTTTCCCTGTGAATTTACCTTCTGTGCTTCCAGCTCCCCAGGGTGGCTGCAGCAGCTCTCCCAACTTTCACTCCCGCTACGGCCCCCGGCCACAGCACCGCGGGCGGTGATTTGCTGGTGCAGATGCATCAGATGCTGCAGTGCCAGTCAGAACTGAGGATAAACTACAAAGTCCACAAATCCAGTTCAATAACCAGAGCTGTCCCTCCATGCACCTCAGAACTCGCACCTGTCCCAGCACGAGAAGCACCATCCCCTCCATCCCCAGCCCCCCTCAAGCCGTATCTCCCCAACACGCAGCCAGAAAGAGGGGGGAACAGCACGTTACCAATCACAAGTCACGTTTTTGTATAAAGGGTCAGGTTTTGCACCCTTCCTGGCAAAGCTTAGTCTGTCTAGGGAGCTCTAATAGCATTTCTGTCATTTTTGCAAGGAGACAGCATGTAGACACCTCCAATAGCATGATACTCCACAGCAACTCACAAAGAAAGAACATGAACCTTCCTTGTACGTTCACATGATGAAAATAGTTTGCTTTCCCTTTGGAGAGGCTCATTCAGCTGGGACCATAAACCCCACGAGGGAGAGCAGAGGTAGCTCTAGAGATTACTTCCTCATAAGCCAAGCTCCAGATCAAATTATTTCATCTCTGCTTGACTTTGCTGACTGTTCTCCTTTGCTTTAGTCAGAGTTTGTATCTCCTTTCTACTCTTTGGTGTAAAACCAACAGCCTACATTAAGGTACTTCAGCCATCCCACAGCTGAGTCAAAAATCCAATTTAATTTTAATGGTTCATCTTTTCAGCTCATCCAGTGAACCACGTCTGCTCCCAGTTGTGTTAACAGCTCTCATTTTACTGATTTGCATCACTATCACTCTTCTCATCCTGATCAAAATAAAGCTTCAAAAGAAGGCGGGTGAGTTGGCTAGGCAACGATTTGGGGTTGTGGTTGTTTTGAAATCACTTTGCTTGTGATTTCCAAGGGCTGGAGCCTGACCCACTAAAGATTTCCATCTCGGGGAACAGGCGTCCATTCTGAAAATGCACCCATACTGGCAATGTCCTAGAGACCTTGCTTTTTTTTTTTTCTTTTCTAATATGCTTAAACAAAAAGCAAATGAAGGAAACGGAAATTCTGAAGTCCTGCCGAAAGCAAGGTTGAGTTTTTGTGTATAGAAGATTAACGACTCCGCGAGTGCTCGGAAATCCTGAGGTATAAAGGGCAGGGACACGGGCGGTACGTGCTGGGCAGCTTCTTGGGGCTGAATCCAGCCCACTTGGTGCAAAACTGACCAAAACTTGCCCCAAGAATCCCAGCTATTGACTCATTTTCAACAATACACTTGTATATCTTATTCTATACCATGTTGTGTCCCTAGAGATGAATGTAGGGACAAAACACTTCAGCAACCACAGCGGTGGGTGGAAATACCTAATTCCCAAGCATGAAACTGGGAAACAAAGGGGCTGATCCAGCATCTCTTACAACACGCTGGTGTCCGAGGAGGCGCTCCCTCCATCACAGGCACATGGTTTTGTTTTTAAGGAGCAGAAAGAAACACCGTAGGACACCTGGAAGGGGCAGCGATCCACGCCGTCCTGAGCCCCATGAAAGGGCAAAGAAGGGAGGAAACTCCAAGTCCCGAAAAAGCGCATGACCGTGGGACAGACTCTGGCAAACATAGGTGGGTATTTTCTGGAACTGGCACTGCAAGTGTCATCCCCCTCGGTAGGATAATAAAAACAAATTTTAAGCAGGGGATTTGTGGCTCAGGGTGTAAAACACCTCCACGGGATAGACACCAGCTTTGCAGTCCTGGAATTATGATCCCACAGTCTAGGATTTATGTTCTGACAGCAGGTGATTGCCTTTAGTCCTTCCCAAGAGATGTTGAGCCATAGATTTCAAAAGACTTGGATTAAATCCTATATATGGGTTATAAATTTATTATAGGGTTGATCATAATTTTTTGCTTACGCATAGCAAACACGTTATCGCTCTTCCTGCTTGCTTGTTTCAATGAAGTCTGATTCCTTATAACCTCTTGCAATTTTACACCGAAGGAATTCTTGTTCACTGTGTTGCAATCACTTTTTTTATTTTTTTTTGTCCTACTTGTGCAGGATGATCTATGCTGTCCTTGGAAGACTCGGGATGACTAAATTATGTGTAAGAGTCTACATCTTCTGGGAAATTATAAAAACAGTCTTGGAGTACCAATACTCTTGAGCTCTCATAAAAATATTTGCTCAGATGTTTTTTAAGTATATCAAATTTGTGGAAATTTCTATCAGTGAAATGTGTTCTTCTCTACTTGATCAGAAGCAGAAAGCGGATCCACAGACATCATATTTTTAAAGCTATTTAGAGACTATATTATAGATGTCAAAAGAAGCCTTTAAAACCAAGGCCATAAACGTTCAAATCTAGAATATTTTGCAGAAAGTGAAAAAACTTGTTAAAACTATATAAGATTTATTCCTGTTTGAGATTTTACTTGACAAAAAAAGAAGCTGTATGAAGAGTTTTGGAAGTCCTAAATGCAAAGAGTAGAAAGAAAAAGGTACACACACCCCTAAAACCTTGAAAATAAGCAATCCACATTCTGTGAAATACTTGCAAAAATAAGAACATAAACTAGAAGTCGTTGATTTTGCCTTTTCTTTCTACACATTTGGTTTGGGAGAAAGCCCAGGGTAACTCTCTTAAGCTGAGCAGGAGGCTGGTCCTTTATGACCCAGGATTTTTTGTTCTCAGGACTCCCCAAAATATTAGACTCATTTAAAATACCAAATCTGGTATAAACCCAGAAACAGCCGCAAAATTACTTGTAAAAATATTGCAGAGAGGCAACGCCAGATCACAGCTTTTATACTATTTGTTTTTTAACAGCAACCCTACAGGGAAAAAACCACTTTTCAAGGTGACTGATGAAGACTCGAGACAAAAGCCGCTCCCACCAAAGCCCCCCTGTACCCAAGCTCAGAATTTTCCTCACGAAAAGCCAAAGCCAGCTGTTCACTGCAAAGCACCACTTGCTGCTGCTCTCGCTGCCCTGCTCAGAAGCTGAGCCGAGTCCCCACAGGCTGCCCGAATGCCACTTGCTCCATGGTTTGTAGAATAAAATAACATGAGAATAAAATAACGTCTCTGTAACCGAGCCACGTGTGTGCAGCCCTGAGCATCCCTTGCAGGGAGAGAGCACCCCATGGGAGAGGGAAAGCTGGGGAGGGGACGTGGGAAGGAAAGACCCTCGTGGCTGCACGTTTGCTGAGTGCTAGGCAAAAAAATCCCAACAAACCCTCAAGGATTTTGCAATTGCTTTGGCTTTAAGTCTTTATCCATTAGGTCATTTTGCAACGCACAAATAATATCAGGCTTCAGGCTGTGAAAGACACCGAATTTTCAAGCGCTATTTTTCCTCTGCGTCTTCTGCAGAACTACCCGCTGCTGCAAAACCAAATCATTCTGGCCCAAACGCAGCCCAGCCCCAGCCCCTTTGGTTTGTGTAGTCAGGTTACGTGCCACACTGCAAACTGTGCTTTGGCTCAAAAAAAAAAAATAAATAAAAAGCAAGTAAGCTCAGAGTTGTTTGTTTTCTGGAGATGCCAAACTGCTTCGGAACCTGTGACTTGGCAGGAGGACGTTTCCTCCTCTCTTAAGGTAAGTAAATATATTTGCATGAGACAACGGATCAATTTTACCAGGAACCTTAAGGATAAAGACAGCAGACTGATTAAGAGACTGTGCGCCCTCCCTGCACTAACGGCTCTTCCCCAAGATGCACGAGCAGTTGCACATCCCCACAGCTGGTTCCTGCCACGACTTCCCTGCCCACAGCCTTCCTCCCGCCAGCCCAGGCTCCGCAAAACAGCGGCTGGAGAAGAAGCACTGCTGGGAAGGACACAAATCACAAGGGGATCAGCAATTTTTCTCACCTAGGAGAGATGGTGGCGGTTCTCTCAGGTCAAGATGCCCACAACAGGTCACCCTGTGCAAGCACAGCAACAGCCTTTCTCACCTCAGAAGCTTCTTCCTCACCTCAGAAGCCACACATTCATGGAAAGAAAGGAGCTCAACACCTTTAGCAAGAGGAAAGCCGAGTTAAAGGTGTCCCTGCTCACTGCAGGAGGTTTGGACTAGATGACCTTCAAAGATCTCTTCCAACCCAACACATTCTATGACGCTATGATTCTGTAGTTCTATGAAAGGTACTTCCAAGGCTGAATGTCCCAGCTCCAGGTCAGGATCTCACTGCTCTCAGGCACAACTGGGACACCTGGAGCTTCCATCCTCTTTAAGGTCATCAGCTTTCACTGGGAGCAGATGAGAAAAGCTTCATGTGACCCCATAGTTAGAAGAAATTATTGCCTTTGCATTACTAATACAAGGTAAAGCAGGTAAAAGTAAAGGCCTGCTCTACCAGAACAACCAACCAGGGTTTTCTTAAGGACACTTGTTTCCAGAAAAATGTGCAACATCTTAAAAAAACCCACCTGGTTTTGTCCAGCTTTGCCTACACTGTTGATTGGGGGTATCACAAGATCAGAAGCCAGGTAACTTCTTGCAGGAGGGGTCTTTTCTGCCTGGAATGATGGGAAACATGGTCAAACCCAAGGGGGATGTACTGCCAACAAAGAGGAGGGGGCTGGCTGGACTCTTGCGTGCCGAATGAGGCTCCCCGGTGCCTTTGTGCCGGCTGTAGGCACCCATCTTCAAACCAAGGAATCGCAGCTGCCCTGGCTGGCTGGGTCCTGTCCCAGCAGAGCAGAAAACCTTCCGTGGACCTGACCTCACGCAGCCCCCAGGCTCCTTCCAGACGCAGACAGAGGTGTGCTGGGCCATGCCATGGGAGCCCACCCTTGGGATGGCTGTTGTGCAATATGTAGCCAGGAGGCAAATAATGACGTGCACCCTCCAAGTGGCAGCAGAGCTGGGATGGGCATTGGCTTCCCGGCTCTCACGTGGCATGGTGCTCACCTGCCAGAATTTTTGAATGCTATTCCTTTAAGGCACAACAGGTGGAAATACAGGGCTAGAGGTACGTGGAGTATTTAAAACAGCCTGGCAGTGCCAGAGTTTGTGTCCGCCTGCGGCAGGGAGGCAGGACAGGACACCCGAGGAGGTCCTGGGGTTGGCCACCCAGGCTCCAGCAAAGCTGGGAGCGGGCAGTCAAAAAGAAAAAGCAAGAAGTAGAAGAGAGTCTGCAGAAGTAACTCAGACTGTAAGTAATGCTTCTTCATCGTTTTTCTGAAATGCAAACCCTTTTGTACTACCGCTCTGAGACAGGGAAGGAGAAGAACACACATTTTAAGAACTCTTCCTCACACCCGTGCGAAAGAAGAGAAGCAGCCGTGAATAAGGTGCAGGTCTTGCTGGTGGGGAGGCTGATTTCTTTTGGAAGGTCAGAATCAAGCTTATGATGTTTATATTTTTTCCTCTGCAGTAGATTTTTAGTCTTTCCTTCCTGGAAAAAGAGTTAATTATCGGTAGAAAAAACCCAAATGTCATTAAATATTACTGTACTAGTCTAAACTGCTGCAGCTCAGTCTATGGTCATTACAGTCTTTTGAATCCCAACACAGAGATAATCATCAGGATGCAAATTCTAAGATTGAAAGAGATAATTGGTGCAGTTTTGTTCTAAATGAGCTCTGGAGAGCTATCAGGTTTTTACAGTTAAAAAGAAGATAAATAGATACTGAAGCATAAGTGAGTGGCATGTATGTGGGGTCTTAACACCGGAATAGGAGAAAGCTGGCAGGCTCCTTTCACATTTGCACCAACAGCAAAGGGGTGGGTTTCTGCACAGCTGAATTCTCTCTCTGCAAAGGAAACTCTCATATAGGACTTTTAAAACATTTCATTTGAAGTATAGAGAAATAACACCTCTTAACAGCAATTGTGCTGCTGTTAGTACATGAACTGGCACTATCCAGGCAGCAACTGTCACTGTACACACTGTCCTCATGGGTCATAGCAAGTTCCTGCTCCTTGCAATGTATATACTACTAAACCAGAGTAACAATTAATAATCTTGAAGTTGGTTTCACTTTCCAGCCCAAGAGACAAGAAACAAACGAGCCATGACCCTGTTATCTGAAAAGCAACAAGTTGGGATATCCAACACCTTAAAGGAACATAAAAGTAGGTCACAAGTTAGAGTATGGTTTATCTAACCCCTGAAAGGAACATAAAATTAAGTCACAGGTTAGCGTATGGTCTATCTAACATCTCAAAGGGGCATAAAATCACACCAGCAGCACGATTTCATCAGGAATTTCAGTCACTGCCGTGAGGGCAGTATGAACATTGATTTCATTTGTTTTCCGGAATGTGTTGTCTGGAGTTTAACTGGTTCTTACAAACATTCTTAGCTAGGAGAGTCACAAGTACTTCAGAAATTCCTAAAAACTGCCGATTTCTTTGTAAATCCTGATAATCTCCAATGAGAGCTGCCTGAGTGTTTCTGCTCCCTGCATCACAAAATTAGCACCTCCTGTTTATTCTTTCCTGATTGTAAAGGAGGCATTTGCTTGGAGCACAAAACGGTTCTTTTCTTTATGCATTTAGGTCAGCTTGATCTTTTATCTTAAAGCTGGTTGTTCATTCCTAGTTCTATGGAAACGGAGAAGGTTGGTAGCTTCTCCCCATCCCACGGCAGCAAACAAAACTCACAATACAGCCGCCTATGTGGAGATCTTGATGGGCAGCGTAAAGATGTAGAAACCCGCAGTTCCGTGCAGCAAGGAATCTGTTGCTACCCCATTCTATATGTTATTATTTCCCACATACTGGAATAACAGCGAGAGTTCTAGAAAACAGGGCTTCTAGGCTAGAATTACAAATGCAACAACTAAACCTTCATGTGCCATTGGTCCCGTAGCACAACCTTGACACTGGTCATCATTAAAAGCAATAGTTAATAGCTAATGGGTTGGACTGTGCTGACCCCTGGCAAGTTGCATTTGGAGCGTACAGGTTTCTCAGAGCTCAACTTTGCAGCTGAGTCAGCAGAATTTGGGGACCGAACTCTGGTATTTCGTACCCAGCAAGAGCAGCTGCTTGCTCAGGTTTATGTAACTCGGGGCTCAGGCCATGATCTCTTTCAAATCATTATAAGTCTGAAGATACTGCTCCCCAGGACTGACAGGATCACAGAAGCACCATCAAAACCCAGAGAAGGTTTTGCAGTGAATGATGTTTGAAAGAGCTGACCTGGTCAGAGAGCACTTTCTGCTGAAAGCACCAGTTCAAAATTTAAGCACGGTGCTGGAGAGGAAGGTGATGTTCCCAACCCCTGGTGCAGGCAGGAGCTCTCACAGTCAAGAAACAAAGTCCTGGGAAATCCATCCTGCTGTGGGGAGGTACGACAAGGTTGCGCCTGTGGGAAAGGGCTTCCAGGGTCCGTCAGGCCATGGGGACACCGTGGTCTCATGCACTCAGTTCTCCCCACTCCAAGAGCGATCAGAAATCCAGCGGGAGCACCTGGACATGCAGGTCAGTGTCTGCAAAAGGGGGAAGAAGGAGGTGTGGACACAAGCAGAGGGGAGCCCAATGTGACCACTGAATCCAACCCAGCCACATCACACAGCCCCAGGCAAAACCAGTGGAGGATCATCAGTCTGCAAAGCCAGTTCTTGAGGAGGTGACCCAATGCAGTTTCTGCTTGGAGGTTTTGGGAGCACTGCACAAAGCTCTTGTTTTGTGCAAACCACCAGACATCCCCCCACACACCTCTCCAGGACTTGGGGAAACCTTGGGGACCAGTCAAGGCATCACTGCCTAGGACAGGTTTTTGTACCTTTCTCTGAAGCAGCTGGTTCTGCCAGATACAGAGAGCAGCAAGGTGACCATCAGCCAGAGCACCTGCTGTTAGCAAGGGGCAAATATCAAGGCCTTTTTTTGTGCCATATTGTTTGCTTTCTACAGAATATGCTGTGTTTATCTTGCTGGCTACTTCTAGGATATGCATGAAAGAGCATTTTTCATGCTCAGTGAGTTAATTATTAGCCATGGACAAGTGGCCACTGAGCAATTAAAAATCACAATACAAGGAAGAAAGCACAATAGGACAACTTTCATCTTAACAAGGAAATAAAAGTCTTTTTCTTCTACTGGGAATTACCCTTAATAAAGCTGTGTTGCTTGACACCTTGAAATCAAATTCCTCTGAATGTTTATAAAGACTTTCCTTGGCACCTACCGTCCTTTCTAGAACTCGGAATAGGCAGGTGGATCAACAGAAATTAAACACAAGCTTCAGACAGGAACTCTGCTCTGTGACCCAAGGAAGAAATTTTTACAATGAGGGCGGTGAGGCACTGGAACAGGCTGCCCAGAGGAGCTGTAGGTGCCCCATCAGTGGAAGAGTTTAAGGTCAGGTTGGACAGGGCTTCGAGCAGCCTGACCTAGTGAAAGACATTCCTGTCCATGGCAGGGGGGTTGGAAGCAGATGATCTTCAAACATCCTTTCCAAACTAAACTCTTCCGCAATTCTGCGAGACAAGGTTTTCCTAAGGAGTGGTTTTGGCACCCAGGCTCACAATCAAACAAGCCTTCCTTTCACTGCATGAGCAGCACTGGATGAAAACATGATCCCAGCTATTAAACTCTTAGAAGAAGCATTATCTCCTGGCAAGGGTCAAGCGAGCTGCTGAGCCCCGAGTTGCCACCGGACTCTCAGGCCTGACAGGGCTCAGCAGCTTTCAGATCATTTTTGAACTTCAGCCTTGTGAAGGGCTGTTCTGATTTACAAGGGTAGAACCAGATATCATTCCTGATTTTGAATCAAGTCTCTTCTCTTTGGCCAAAATCGCTTTTTATGCCCTGTACACTGACCAAGGGATGCTCTGCTCTGCTCTGACAGACACGCTGGTGTCTTGCAGGCACCGCATGAACCAAGTTTGTCATAAGAACAACTGCCCTCATTTTAGAGGGGAAGACTGGGGAGTTGGGATGAGACCCATGCCGCAGCACAGGCGAGAGCAGAGACATTGGCTCCCTCTCTCCCATTCAATTGCTTTACAGAGACAATTTGCTCAAATTTCTCAAGTTTCTCTCTAGCTCAAGTAGCCAAACCCTCATATCCTTCAGCCACAGGGATTATTAGATTACTTGATCAGTTAATTTAATCAGTTTGTAAATGGGATTTTTTTTACCAACTTCTGTGCCTTTTCCAGGGAATGTAAGAAAAATGACTTTACTAGCGTTTGCCGTCCTGCTCGCCTTCATCCCAGCTGAATCCGCAAGCAGCAGATACCTCCCCAAGGCAGCAAGTAAGTCTAACTCTCCAGGGCACTGGTCTCATGAGTGGCTCAAGACCAGAGGTGATGTTACTAAGCAGGGAGCAGGGTCCAGGAGGTGTCTCTACCCCCTCAGTGCCCATTGCTGCCATGGGACCTACCAGAGCAGGTGATGCTGCCCAGCCCCACGTCTGCACTGGCCCCGGTACACCCGCCCTGCCCTGCAACCCCGTGGGGCTGGGTAGCACCGCTGATGTTTACAGCCAGCACATTTTCCTCTTGCAGTCTCCAGCCCCGTGTTTGGACCGCGGCAGGTGTATGGTCTGCTCAACGGCTCGGTGACCGTGAAGTGCTTCTATCCTCCCACCAGAGTGAACCGGCATGACAGAAAGTATTGGTGCAAGCAATCATCTACGGGCTGCACGACCATCGTCTCCACCAACGGCTAAAGCGCTAAAGGCTACAAAGGCAGAGCCTCCATCACCGACTACCCGCAGGCAGAATACTTCCAGATCGACATCTCTGAGCTCACGGAGGCAGACGCAGGCACCTACCAGTGTGGCGTTGGAGTCAATGGCAGAGGGCTCTCCCACAGAGTCAGTCTGGATGTTTCCGAAGGTAATGACGGTCTTGGGGCCCCTTGAAGTGTTATTTTCTTTTATTTTTTCCACCCCTTTCTAACAAGGTTCCACAGAGAGTCTATCCAGTAGACAAGAACTCAGGATGTTTCACACTTCCCAGAAACAGCTGGGTCGATCATGCTCTGACCAGGAGTGACACGGGATCACATAATATAGAGAAATAGAAAGAGATCCTATGCTAAAAAAAAAAATCCGAAACACCTTATAGGGGACTTGCACACAGTTACTGGCACAGCAGGCAGCAGACAGTGACTGGTGTCTCTGTACTCCCAGGTCCACATCTGCCCGAGGCAGCTGAGCTCTTCTACACGGAGCTGCACGGCACTTTGACCATGTCCTGCAGCTTTGGGGAGGAATCTGTGAGCATGAGGAAATTCTTGTGCAAGATGGAGAAGAATGGCTGCCATAACATCGTCGATAGCCACGGGAACGTCAACAACGATTACGCAGGGCGCGTTCTGCTGACCAATGAGGCGCCCCCAGGCACATTCAGCATTGTGATAACTCAGATGGGCTGGGAAGACTCTGGCTTGTACCTGTGCGGGGTTGGCACCTATGGGGAGAACGGAGAAACGAAGGAACTGGACGTGCATGTCTATGAGAGTAAGCTATCCTCAGTGTTTTTTCCCCTTCACCTCTGCTTCTCTTTAGGAGCATCACTAGCAGTCTCACTTTACTTAACAAGAACTTAGATTTCCTTTTGCAGAATGCTTTTTTCCTATCCTCTCATCTACATAATTCTTTCTATACACTTAGCTATCTGTAACGCACAAAACCGTCACTAATCAAGCCTGTATCAAGACTCAACTTCCCTGGCTGTGGCTGGCTAGCTTCCCCAGTCTGCCTAGCCCAAACCTCCAGAAGGTGAATTCTGCCTACCGGTCTGAGACAAGCCAACTGTCTAGTCAAGTCTTAGTTCCTTAAATCTCAAAATAACAGATATAGAAAGGAGAAGATCTGCTCTTCCCCTAAGCAAAGGGAGCAAAAACTTAGAAAGTGACACACTAAGGCATCAACTCTCCAGCGAATCTGGGAAAAAGAAAGGTCTGACAGACCCTTTAGGGTCAATTCCTAGCAGTGCCAGGACAGTCTCTTGCCATCTCCACCCCTGTGCTTCGCCCAGCCTTGCTTTAGCTTAACTGCTTTGTTTGATCTGGGATACTTTTTCTCTTGGGAGGGTGTCACATGGACAAAAGTTAGACATGTGTAGCCACTCATTTTGGTTTTACTTCCAGAGACGAATGTTCCTCAAGAAAAGGTCACAACGATCGGAGTAAAAGGAAGTTCAGTAACTTTCAGATGCCGCTATGAGCCTCTAAGAAGGTCCTCGCTGAAATACTGGTGCAAGTGGAGGAACACAGGGTGTGCTCGGATCATAGACAGCCTCGGGTTCGTGTCTCCCTTGTATGAAGGAAGAGTGGCCATATATGACAACCCAGCTAACAAGACGTTCACCGTCATCCTCAACCAGCTGAAGGACAGTGACCAAGGCTATTACTGGTGCATGACAGACGAGGAAAAGGAGCAGCAATCATCAACCGAGCTCAAGATCATAGACGGTACGAGCTTGCCTGTTGGTAGTTCTCTGCCTACTGAGTAGTTACCAAACAGCCTCCTAAGAACCACAAAGAACAGATGTGGCTGGTTTGAGAAGAGATGTGAGCTCTGGCTCCGTGCTTTATCTCATAAGGCAAAACACTGTCAATTCCCCCACACTCCAGCAGGGAAACACAAGGCTTCACTTTTATGGGAAAGTGTTCACAAGGGTTTCTCAGGCACGTATTTCTTAAGCCTTGCAAAAGAAAATACCAAAACAAAACAGCTTTCACCCAGAAATGCATGTACAGCATCCTTAACACTAATTTAACGATGCAAGGAGGGCTTTCCTTCAAAGATACACCTCCTGCTTCACCACCTCTAGCAGCACCAGTACCTGTAGACTACCATTCCCACCACTGAAACCACTAACTAACATTTGTCCTTGCAGGAGAGCCTGGACTGACAGGAAAGACAGAAGTGGAGGCGCAAGTGGGATCACGGGTGGATTTAACTTGCTCTTACCCGTGCAAGTATTACTCCTACCAGAAGTACTGGTGCAGCTGGACCAACACCGGCTGCACCCCCATGCCTGCCTCCGACCAAAGGCAGTCGGGGCCAGATGTTTCGTGTGACACTGACAACAAGACAGTCATCCTGACCTTCGACTCGGTGGCCAAGTCAGACCAAGGGTGGTACTGGTGCGGAGTGAAGCACAACGGCCTCTTCGGGGAAACCATGGCGGTGTACCTGGAGGTGACTGGAGGTGAGCTCCAATTCAGGGGTTTTCCTGCTCCTCAGAGCTGTGAATCCTGCTCTTCTCCTGAGAGAAAGTCCTCTCCATCGCCACTAGGTTGCAGCACCTCAGAGCAGAAGTGCTCTCATCCAGGCAGCCTCGGCAATAACATCACTCCGATTTTGCACAACTCGTGCAAGTGGATGTTCTCATCCACTCAATGGCTTTTGCTTCCCAGTCATTAAAAAAAAAAAAAAAAGCCACCAGGCTAAAAATCACTTCCTTCCACACCATTTTTACTTTTTAACTCCACCCCTTACTAATCATTGCTATTACAATATGCAGCATCATTTAGCTTAAGCAACATCTGACACCTGCCAGGTAAAGGACTGCATGTAATTCAGAGACACATCTTGCTCCAGGGAGTTATCTTAATAAGCAGGAAAACAGTAGAGAGCAGGAAAGGATGGGATATCACCAACAGCAAGGAGCTTAGTTTCAGCTTTGGCGCAATACTCTGGAATTAGGATGTTTTTGTCACAGAGGAGTGTTGTTAGAAGCAGTTAGCACTAGATATCCCACAAGCAACCATCCTAAAGTGATGGTGGCCAACGTGAAAATAAACAGCCTCGTTTCACAGCCTTTGCTGGGCAACGAGCAAGAAATAAAAGCAAGCCAAGCAAAATTTGCTCTGGAAATACTTGAGGCAGGACATAGGAATGCAAGACTTCCAAAAGCTTGCAGGCAGAGAGAGCCTAGTTGGGATTTTGGCAATAAATTATTTGGAACGAGGTTACTTTAGAAACCTAAACCCCATTTGCAAGAGCCTCTCACGTGCAGCCAAAATCCCTTGCCATTCCACATGCACTAAACTGGTTTTTGTGACACCGTCCCCATGCTGCTGCTCACATGACTGACCCCAACTTGCTTCCTTCCTGGGGGATACAGGGAGCGGTGCCGACCGCAGCCTCAACCTCCTCAACGTTGATACCCCCAGCCACATCGAGCCCCCCAGCGACGCTGAGCCCCCCAGCCACGCCGAGCCCGGCTTGATTCCCCGAGGAGGGGACCAGAGCGACACTGGGGTGCGAAGCGCAGCTGCCTCAGAAAGGTTCGTTCTCTCCAAGCATCTACCATTTATTGTTTCCATGAGGTTTAGACCAACCCCTTGTGGGCACTGTGTTTGCCCGTCGCGTATATGCTTAGGAACAACAACAACAATAAATTCCTGTCCCCGAGGAACTTATCTCAAAACATCAGAGATAAAGAAAAAAAACCCAAAACATTACAGCAAAAGGCAAGACAACTTAAAATTAATCTCTAGCTCAAGAAAATGTGGTCCTGGAGGGGGACGATTAGAGATCCCGTGTACAGAAAAACTAACTGAAAATACTTCTGTTGAGAACTTGATTTCACACGTTTAAAACCAAGCTGCCGATGTAGCTGTTCCGGCACAACCTCTGCCCTATGTTTTTGTTTGGGTTTTTTTCTATTACACATGCTAAGATCTGGTTTGTTAATTGAATTGCTTGCTCAGATTTACCATCCTATACAGATTTTTAGACTGCTGGACATTCATATACATTATTCAGTCCTGAATAATTAAAAAAAAAGTAATAATTTGTATTGCAGAGTTTAGTGACAGATCTTTCCCTCCATTCCAGCTCTGATCAAAGCCACGGCCCCAGTAAAATTACTTTAATCATGGCCCCCGTGGCTGCTGTGTTCCTGGTCCTAGTGACAGCTTTCGCTGTCTTTAAATACAGACAGCTGAAGAGATCTGGTAAGTCCCAGCATTTTCTAATACCTCAAGGGATATCGGTGATATTAAGAGGTTGTGTACGCCCCAACCTGTGCTGAGCTGCTCCCATGGCACCTCGCCGTGCCACAAGCAGGCAAATGACCCTGCTTCTCCCCCAACCCCATCCATGCTCAGCACATGGGGGTGCCCGGGCTGGGACAGACCCCCCAGCTCCGTGCTGCCCACTTGGGCAGAAGTGGTTTGGATGCTGAGGTGGTTGCACCAACTCAGAGGGAGCACACAGGGTGTTTTACCTCCTCCCTCTTACCAGACCTGGTGTCCGTCGGGAGCTACAGGACGAACATCAGCATGTCAGACTTCGAAAGCGGGAAGGAGTACAGCGCGAGCAACAACGCCTGCATGAAAGAGAGCCAGGAGACTCAGATAGGAGGGGATGGTAAGCTGGTGACAGACAGGTCACTCTCCTGCCCCAGCCCCGGGAAGGGGGTGCTGGACACCTACAAAGGCCGCAGAAATACCTGCCCATCATGCTGTAACACCTCCTCTTCTCTCCCCACAGAGTTCATCACCACCACGGCCGCCCCAGACAACACTGCTGAGACAAAGAAGGCAAAAAGGGTAAGAGAGAGCCTGGGAGACACCAACAGAGCCCTCCAGCCTCTGCAGAAGGAGGTGTCCTTCCCCAGGGACCTTATTTATAGCCAGGTGCTCTCCATCTCACCTGGGGCCAGCCAGCTGCTGCACATCAGCCTTGATGGGGGGAATTTAACCCTCTCTCGTCCCCAGGTTTTTGTAGAGACAATAACAGCAGCCACCTTGCTTCAAACAGGGTGTCAAGGTAGTGTCAGGAAGATTGGAGTTGGGTTGTTATCGTAAATAGGAAACACTCTGGTACGCTGATGGCCAGAAGCCAGAGCACATTCCCACCTCCCAGCCTTGTGGGGGGCAGAGGTGGGCAGGGAGGTCTCTGCCTTTGTGAGGGCTGTGACTTGCTCCTGTGGTCCCTCCTTTCCTTGTCTCCCCTCCTGTTGGGTAAGATCAAGGCTGAGTGGCACCACTGAGCAGTAAATGAAGGAGCCAGATACAAGCCCTTCTTTTTAAAAGTCTCTAACCCAAAGCGGTATGTAGGTGTTGTAAGTACCAAGAGCTGAACTGGAGCTGTAAGAGAACACATTAGGAGCCAGTAAAACTCAGGAGCTTTAGGCAGGTGAGCCGGGTGCCAACATGCAGGGCCAAGCGTGCCACGGAATCCCAAACCCACAAACATTCGGGATCTGCCTGGGCCATCAGCACCAGCGCGACCCACTGGACAACCCCACTCATCCGAGCCTGCCCGTGTCATCCCAAGAACCTCACAGCCCATGTCTCACTGTCCTTCCCCCTACCAAGTGCTGCTGTCCGTGCCCAGGCACCTCACGGTGTCCTCCTGTCCCTCCCCAGAACTCCAAGGAGGATGCTGACCTCGCCTACTCCACCTACCTGCTCACCTCCAGCAGCATCGCGCAGAACGGGGCCGGGGGAGCCAGCGCAGCCCCGGCCGTGCCCCCCCAGACCTGGGATGGCAAGATCTGAAGGCGAGGGACCTGCTCTGCCTTGAGGATCAGAGCAAGATGTCAGAGCTGTTTATCGCTACCACAATTTGCTATAGCTTGACCTTTTTCTTTTGTTTTTTTTTTTGTTGTTGTTGTTGTGGGTTTTTTTTCCTTAAATTCAGCTTCAGGTGGTGATTTAGGAGGAATTAGGTTTGGTGCCAAAGGGGACAGCTGGGCTGGAGGCACAGGTCTGGGCGAGCAGGTTGGGCTGGGTAACATCAGATCAGAGCCTGGTCCTCCTCCAGTATGGGGGGGCTCTCAAACACCAGATGGTTTGTTTAAAAAGGAAAAAAATCAGTTTCTTTAAAAGGAAGCTGGAAAACACTCTAGAACAACACCTTGAGCTTCTGATTCCTCCAAACTTTCTCATCCAGAGAGCAATACCTGCAGACCAGACGTGGTCTGAAGTGTTTTTATGCACAAGCAATAAACAATATCACTGGCTTCAGCAGACCAGGGGGACTCGCAGTCCGTGGGAGGGCAGGGGAGAGAGCACTCAAAGACTTTGCACTAAGGGTACATTGGACAGGGGAGGGGTTTCTCCTGCCTTTACTGCAACAATGCAGCATCACCTCGGGTGTTGCAAACGACCCAGGGTGGTGAAAGGAGCCCACAATTAATGGAGATAAACAGGAAATGTTTTGAGTAATGTTTCACGCATGCATTTTGGAATTGATCACAGCTTGGCATTAATTAGCATGACAACCTGTTAGCAGCCTGATGAGGCAATAGGCACCGGTGTTCGCTGGCGCTCCATCCGTGTGCATGACGCAGACCAATCTCCCCTTTCTGACTTGGAGTCAGAGCAACTGAGCCAAATCCTCCGCCACGGAGATCCCCGCTGCGACTGACCCTGAAACCCCCCTCTCTGCTCAACGAACCCGAGCCACACACCACTCACACGCTTTCCCTTGGCTGACTTCTGTTTGTCCAGGCACAAATGAGGGTGACTGTAATTAAATGTTGGCTCTTGGTCTTATTTTCAAGAGGGGATGACTAAATAGAGCAAAGCAATTTATTGATGCGTGGATTTCCGAACAGTGGCACAATGCCGCTGTCTACCCGTGCGATGAGGGTACAGAAAGCTGAATACTCTGCAGATAAAGCAATGTAGGAAGCAGCAGTGATGAAGAAGCTGTGACAAAGCAGAGAAGCAATTTTCCCTGAACACCAGGAGCGGGGTGGGCAGGTGCCTGCCTGGCAAAGAGAGTGGCTGGGTAGGTGTCCGATGGGATCTGAGCTCAAGAGAGAAGGGGCAGAAACTGCGCAGACGAATTCGGATTCCTGAGCCCGCGTTGGTTACGTGCAGCTCTGACAGCAAACCATAAAGTGTATGAATGTATGGAAAAGGGTATGAAAAGAATGAGGAGCACAACCCTGGCTAAGCGCTGACCTGATGGTGTTACAGCAACACCATAAATACATTTTTGCTGTACTAAAATGCTAGCTACGCTGTAAAATGAAAACAGCGTGGTAGCTCAGCAAGGTGCCAGGCTGTGGCTGTTTGCGTCAGCCTACAGAGACTGAGTTGTCATCAAGGATAAACCCCAATTCATTCCCGAATCATGGACCGCCCCACACTAAGAGCTGAGACGAGCTCGGCTCGCAGCGAGCGGGAGGGCAGCAGCTCTGCTGGTACTTGTTCTTCCCCTCCCAGCCCTGCATTTGTGTCTGTAGGGCTGCTCTCACATCCACATTGCGATAGTCATCACCTTACTGACAACAAGGCTCGGACCTCAAACACCAGGTTACAGCTCCTCTGCCTCATGTCCCGGGCTGCATCCCCTCGGCAGCACGGTGAGAAGGGGCTTGGATATCAGAAAGGATGTGGTGGGGCCAGGACAGGTCTGCACCTGCCCAGAGTTGCTGGAAGCGAATGAATTATTCTGGTGCAACAGGAAAGGCGTGAGCTTGCAACGTGTCCCCAGGGCTGAGCAGTCATAAAGCTTCAGGAGAACGCTAGGGTTTGGAAATTGCTGAGAAGAGAAAACCCCTTTCGCTCTCCCTCTGTCAATCCTCTTCCTCTTCAGCCTGCCCTCCGGCAACCTTTTCTCAGCTCCCCTCTTCCTGCACCGCGCTGGGAGCAGCGACCATGAGCCAAAATCCTGGGAGAGGTGCAGGGGCCGAGAAACGCGGGTGGGCTGAGCATCCTGCCAGCCGGCTGTGCCTGCAGCCTCCTGCCCACAGCTCCTGCTCCTTCCCGTTGCCAACACTTCCATCTGACACCTCATTCCCCGGGCTGCTGCCGCTCTGGTTTGCAGCACGTGGGAGAAGTGAAAGCAATAAAATGTGCAGGGATTAGAGGCACGCAACCCTCCTCCTGGGATGCAAAATCGAAGAAATCTCATCCAGTCTGAGGCTGTGGAATAAATCCTACTCTTCTCACTCGAGCTGGGATCCAGAGCCCATCACGATCAATGTAAAGATCCACAGGGACCTCAGCAAGGAGCCCCAGCCCCTTCCCCAGGCTGTTTGCCAAATGTGCCGACTGATTTCCTTTGGTCTGTGACGAGCTGTGGCATCCCTGCTTCATTCCTAATGATCTTTCTTTAACAGAAAATCCTGGTACGTGCAAGATACCTGTCATACTTAAATGGCTGATTTCAAGCTTGATAGTGTTGAAAGTCTGGCCTTCGTGAGCGCTGACAGAGCATGGAGGGCTGTGTTCCTCCGTGGATGCCTTGGCCCCAGGATGAATAAAAGTCATGCTACAAAGCTCTACGAGAAAGCAAATTAGGAGAATCAAAGCTCCAAGAAGATTTCCTTCGTCATAAGCAAATATTTGAGGAAGGATGGTGAGCAATCAGGGAGATCTTTCCTTTAGAAGTGAATCACCAAATCGCGCTCAGCGCGGAGAACGTGCATATGTGCTGTAGGCAAATGTTGGTGAGCCCACGCAGCCAGGGCACCAGCCAGGCCCTTTTGGGAAAGGACAAGGATTCTCCTCCTCACCTGCACCTCTTCTTTCTGCTGGAACCCACCGGACTGACACAAGGTTCCGGTGATGCTGGCGTGCTGCCAGAGGTCTTGACAAGCGTCCTCCCATGATGGGCATGAAACCAAAGCAGTAACTAGGTTCTCCGTGAAGACACGAGGAATCTTATTCCATAATAAAAAAAAAAATCCTATCAGAGAGCCTCTTCTGCAGTTAAAACCTTCCCTGTGTCAGATACTACAGCAATATGCAGATTAACATCTTGGGGGAAAACACAATGGAAAAGGGATTTAGAGCATGCAGAACCAGTGGGTACCAGCAATGTGTGTGCAGTCGTTGGGGGCTAAAAAAACCTGAGATGGGCGAAAACAGACCAGAGCTGCAAATAGTGCACAGCAGAAGTGGTCTCAGGGCCAAGCAGGGGTGATTTAATGTCACTCAGGTCTCATCTTTTGTCTCTCTGGCATACCAGGAGGGATGCATCACCTGCGGGATGCTAGCCTTAGTAGGAGTGACGGTATCCGCTGTGAAAGCGCACCATGGTGAATTCAGAAAATTTCACCAACAAGAAATGTATAATTCCTCAGAATTTTGATGAAGAGACTCAGCATAGTTTCAAGTTGGGTTTATTTACAGTAATTGCAACAGATTTCCACAAAACTTACTACTGAGTGTCAGTAAATTACACAATACCTTCAAGAACTTTTTTCTATTCAGCAACCACATAGCTTGCATAAAGCTTTTTTTTTTTCACTGATAAGGCATAAAAATATCATCTCAAAAGGAAACACAGACTTCTAAGTCCTCACATACCTTCTAGGACCAATTCTTGGAAGCATTTCTCACACTGTGCCTGTCATTTCAGCCAGATCAGTCAGCAGCAGTCACAGATTGATGAGCACTCCTCTGCAGCACCAGAGCTGTTCCAGTGGGCACTCAACACTCGTGAACATACATTCACTACACAAAAATCTTATAATTTAAAAAATGCTTTTATTAAATGATCACAGCTATGTCTGCTAGCAAGAGCAACCCTTTCAGGTTTTCCCTTGGGAGCATCCTTTGACAGAAGTCAGGTAAGTGAATGCTACACAGATTTGATCAAACTCGGTATTTCCATCTTCATGCAGGACCCTGATGATGCTGGTGAACCACTCGGTGTTTGGCTGAGCACAGCTACAACCAGTGACAAACTGAATCCATCCAGCACATTATTTTCTTGCTCATCGCTGGTGTGTGCAAAGTCCCAGCAGCTTCGTTAGCCCTGGCCGTTAGCAGGTCGTTAATGCTTTTCTGCTCTCTAGTGAGACTTCTCCATCCAGTCTAGTAGGATGTCCAGCTCACCCAGGGACTTAATCGCTGCAGATGTGACATTCAGCTGAAATGATGCCAAGGAACAAGTCGTAAGCAAAGATAGTGAGTAGAACCCCGTGTAAAGAGGATCGGAGTAACTGCGTTAATTACTAGACTTAGCCATCAACTTACCGCCTCATAGTTCAGAAGTATTTGCTCAAATTTCTCATTGGATTCGTCTCCGCATATGCACTTATTTTGCTCATGCTAGAAAAATGAGATTGATTTTATTAGTCTGGGGGGAGTCATTTTTAAAAATAAGAGATCACTTTCCCATTATGCTGGAAATTCATGTATAGACACAGACCTTGTTACGCTGCAGAAAAGGCTGCAGGTCCTTAAACCAGACTTCAGCTAAGAGCAGAGTTTGCTCTGGCAGACAGAGGGACCAGATAAACGTTGCTCTTAAGAACTAAGGTGGGAGTTTGCTGATGAGTGGGCGACTATAAACATTTCTCAGCAGACACACACACTCTTTGTATTCTTGCTAAAACAGCTTTTATAAATAAACGTTTTGTGACTTTCTAAAACACTTAGTTTTATTTATACACCAAATACTAACAGGCAAAACTGAACTGTAGCAATGCCCCAAAACTTACACACTGCCCGAGTTTCTTCTTCACACTGAGGAAGGAGTTGGCTATGCTGCTGATTTTACGGTTGACATACGAATCCTCAGTCTTGCAGTGTTTGAAAACTTTGTCCACATAGAAGTCGAAGAGGTGATGGGTGATGCAGCATCGATCTGAGGACTTAAGGAATAGATTTCATAAACCGACTACATATATAGGCATTTTAGACTGATTTCTCAGGACATCCATCCTCAGCAATTCTCACTGAGTTAACAAAACAAACAGCTGATTTTATAGCTGGGCATTTGAGCCTGGGACCTGAAGCAGTGGCCCATGTCTAGCACATTTGAGTGTAAGAGAGCTGCAAAATATTTATTTGTAATATATTTCACCCGCTTTTGGATTCCGGAATAACTTTCCACCCAAATCCTGATTCACTTCCTTCTGCCTCCACCGACTGAGGTGGTGGGGAGCCACAGCAAAAGCACCTGTAGCTGGAGCATCACATGAAACAAAAACCTACCTCTGCCCACCTTTTCTGGAAAGAGTCAGGGTGAAAGCCCAGTGCAGGAACCGGCAGTGGGACACCCACCTCTTTTCACATACGTGAGCCTCATCACGTTATCCTCCCCAACCTGCGCCTGCGCTTCGCAGGAGCTCAGAAGTCGTGGTATTGATCGACTCGGACTCAGAAGTCGTGGTACTGAACGACTTCACCAGACACCCTGAGCTAGGACGTCTCACAGCGGGTGGTAGGATGCTCCCTGGTCCAAATTATTCAGAGAAAAACTGGAGAAGGGGTAAGGACACGTACCTTAACCTTGTGCAGAGAATGAGGATGAGACAAGATGCTGAGGGTCCTGATGGGGTCTCTGGCTTGCTGCATGGGAGAACACAGAGACGGTGACATTTGTGCTTGCTCCGGGGACTGGCTGAGGAGCTTCCCCAGCTCCGCAGTGCCCCGAGCAATACTTACGACATTGGCTTTAATTGCAGTGAAACCAGACCTAATCTCAGTCAGGCTCATGGAAACCCTGCAGGGTCCAAAGTGGAAGATTTTGTTCCCGGCTGTCAGCATCCAATTCAAAGCACATGCCACAGAGAAGAGGCAGAGGAGCGAGTGGGATCCCTTCATGCTGCCGCAGGACGTGAACACAGCTGGCTGCCTGGGAGACCTGGTCAAGGAAGACAATATTGCCTTGTTGTTTTTCCTAAATAACACCGATGTAATGCTTAGGAAAATATATGTATTTTATACAGTGCTTGTATATGCACACGCGTATTAAAAAACCCACACTGGCTAGTATCTCTTAAGAATTTATCTTTTACTCCACACATGCAAGAGAAAAAAAAATCAAATGAAACCAAATGTTTCACAGAAGATCCCCAAACAAGCAAAAACAAGCAAAGAAAAAACAACCTAAAAGCCAGTAAAAGATTACATGTGAATAGATAAAGCTCTTCTAAAAAAATTGCATCAGAAATATAAATACAGACAAATTAAATTTGTAAAAGTCTCCTGACTCAGAAGCAGTAGGAGGTAACTAGATGAAAGCAGCAGATCTCAAAGACTATTCATGTTGTAGGAATACAAGGACATACACATGAACATACAGAGCAAAAGGATAAAATCTATATTTTACCTTGTTGTTTGATGTGGGTTCACCTGTCCCACTGACGTCTGACCTGAAGAGCTCCGGAGAACATGTTTTTATCCAAGTAGCGGGAGGAAATAACTCTTGGATTAACTTTTGGGATTTTTCTTTCTTTTCCCAGCACCTATTTCCCTTTGTAATTTTCTGAATTAATGAGCCAATGAAAGGGACCAACTCTCTCACCCAGAGGTGTTTCCCTAACCTACAGAGGCGGGAAATCTTGGCATTGCCGCATCATTTTCCTTTCGGGAAGAAGGATGTGACCAGAAGGAGGGACCATCATGGGGGTTACATCCCCAAAATGCCAAGCCTGGGGACTGGAGCTGTGCTGCCACATCCCTCCAGGAGAGGAGCCATTCCCAGCTTGTTACTGGGGGCATCAGGATGGGGGAAGCCGGACAGCATCACCCCCCGAGGATGCCAGTGGTCCATACACCCCAGGGCTTCTGGCAATAGGATGTGTCATGCTGGTGGAAGTGGCATGACTCAGAAAGTTGGCAAAATCTTTCTCCATCACTGTCCTGGCACACGGGGCTTTCTCCTGCCCGGTCCAGGGAGCCCTGCTCTCAGGTTTGCCCCTCAGGTGGGAGGATGCTTCTCTCCACCGGCAGGTCTCTGGTAGTTGGAGCACGGAGATGTGCAGGTACAAGAGGACGGGGCTTTGGGACGGCTCCCACCTCGGTGCCAGAACTCACTTGGTTTTCAAGAGCGCAGGTAACTTGAGGGATCGTTATGGACAGTCTATTGCCCTGTGGAAGGAGAGAAATTTCACTCAAACCTTTAAAAGTCCACCAGCCCAAGGGCAGCAGGGGAGTTGAACCCACCAGCTGAGACTTTGACTGTAAAGTCTACGATTATCCTGCTACGAGCATTAGCTGCCAGGGAAAACTGGTGCAGCCAAAGTCCTCGAGCAGACCAGGCATGCTCTCATACCAACATTTCAGATCCAGACTGTCCCCAGGAAATCAGATTTTGCCAGCTGGGACACGCTGTCACACGAATGTGGCAGTACCAGTGCAAAACCCAGGCTGGTTCACCAGGCTGTTGGCTCTGAGGCCAGTTTGGCTGTTTCTCTAACCCCTCTAGATATAGGTAACCTGAGTTTACAAACAAAACCAAGCAGTTAAAAAACTTCTTGGACTACTTGTCCCCAGGAGGGAGGGTCAGATGGACTTAGAGGGCATGGAGGGAGCAAAGACACCCCTCTAATCCCACAGCACGCCTGATGCTCGGGGTGAGAGCGGCAGCCTGAGCGTGCGCCTGTTGCAATACGGGTGTATCTGCCACTGTCTGTGCGCCGGGGCTGTTGCAGAAAAGTTTTGCTGGGTGAGTAATTTATTGATAACCGTGCTCAATCTTAAGCGTATACCTGTCATCAGGGGAAGACCAGGCAAACAGATTTTATGCCCAGGCTAGTCGGAGTATTGCACAGAGTATTGCTGAAACTACCCCAGATGCATCAAGCTCGCCTCCCTCGTCCCTGTGCCTTCGCACTGCGCAACAGCCAAAAGGCAGGTCCAAATCTGCAGCAGGTTGTGTTCATCCTTGCTGAGGTGTTGGAGGGAATCTCGGCAGCACAATGCCGTTAATCTCTGTCTTCCTTACTCAGTTCCCAGCTGCTGCCTGCAATTGCAGCAAAAAATTTCGCTTGGAGCAGAGGAAGTGGCACCGGCAGCGTTCCCAGGCAGCCCGGTGCACACCCAGCCTCGGTGAGGAAACGAGGGAAGAGGCAAGGAGTTCTTACTTAATCATGTAAATTACAGATGAGAAGAAGGGATTTCTCTCCTCTCTTTTTTTTTTTTTCCTTTTGGTAACTAAACTGACGCTCAAGACAGGTCAGCCAAATGCCAGCAGGCAGGAAACAGTCATGAGCTAAAAAACGGCAGCTGCGCTGGTGGAGGAAAGATACTGGGATACAGGAACAGGAGTGAAATGTTATATTATCGGGGTCCAGGGCCTTGCTCCATTAGAGACCTCTGCACGGTCCTGGTGGGCATCCCTTGGCCTCTCTGTCCTGTCACTGACCATTTGCAGAGCAAAGGCAGCAGTGCGAGCCTCACCACAAAGGCAAGGAGAGGAGTAACCACACCAGAGGTGGGGAGACAAGCCTGATACTCAAAAAAAAATATGAGAAACTATGTGTATAATGATGGCCATCAATTACTCCAAGTGTTGGACCTGGGGAAAGTCCAAAACCCTCACTTTTCGGAGCAAATGGGATGGCATCAGCAGAGATCTCAGAATGCATTGGACCAAATCCTGATGGAACCAAATCACCCAGGCTCGGCTTTCCCCTGGCAGCCTGCCTAAGGGAGGCTCTCCTCTACCTGCAAGTTACAGCAACGTGAAAATATCCTCAATAAAATGGCAAACCCTTTCTCATACGCTCTGGGAAGGAAGAGGGAAAAGGAGTAAGAGGGACTTCTGAAACGCAGCAGCGTGACAATGCAGACAAGCTCAGTAAAATGGGAACTGACTCCCCCAGGCACTCTCAGAATAATTAAGATTTTGCGTACTGCGGCGTGCTGGGAGCGCTGGGGAGTGGGCAAGCAGTCCTTTCCCTGGGAACCTTTCCAGGCAGCTCCCAGGTAACTGGGGAGGGCTCCTCCCATGGCATTTTATGGTAGGCACACTAGAAGTACTTGCAACCCAAATAACAAAGACAGCATAGAGGGTTGTTAGCCACCTGCCGCCATGATAGGGAATTAAAAGCTAAGCCCCGTGTGTCATTAGCTTGACTGAGAAATCATTTATACAAAGTCCGTGGTGAGCAGCACAGCTTCCTGCTCATCTCACATCTGCTGTGATGCAACTTGAAAAGGCACCAAAGGGGCCGAAAGGAACGTCCCCAGCGCAGCCTGGAAAACAGCTTTCAGAGCTCTTGGACCACTCCAGCTCTCATCGGCTCCAACCAACGCCCAGCCTCGCCCAGCCAAGCAAGCGGCCGCGTTACCCTCGCCGCCACGCGCAGAGCTGGCATCCCTGCCGTGGTAACAAACCTCTCCGTTAACAGCCGAACGCAGCAGGCTGCTGCAGGCAAGCGGCTCGCTGAAGTGACTAACGAAGCAGATGTTCCTAGAGAGCCCGGGAGCTTGAGAGGAGATGAGACACCCGCTCACCGACAGCCGCCTTCGTCGGGGAAACTCAGCAGCAGCTCCTGGCTCTGCTCCAGCACCGGGGCTGGAGAGCCATGCCCTGGGCTCACCCCTACCGGGAGTTACTGTGGTCCTGCTGGGTGCCCAACTCCACCTTAATTAACTTCAAACATCCAGAAGACTGTGTTTTATCCTAAAAAATCCTTGAAAACACCCACATAAAATCAACAAGCTGTTCTGATCCGAAGGAGCCGTACTGTCAGGAACTGACCCCAAACACACACTAACACAGGGTTTCCAGTAAAGCGTTTCAGAGGAGTAAGGTGCTAGTTTCAACAATGCATTTCAATATTTCATGCTGTAAGATCCGATAATACTTTACAGACCGTTCTTGGTTTGCCATTTGCCATTCTTCGTCATTATTCATATTTCACAGCAGCTTTAGGTACACCAGCATTTCAGATATGAGGCTGGTAATGTTTTGCGTACAGATCCCTAGAACTAGACAACACGGATGACAGAAATGCCCCCAGTAATTTCAATAAAAGAAAACCCAAGACTTAATAACAAAGTCCAGCAACAATATCTGAACTCGGGAATCCTTCCTGACACCCTCCGGGAAAAGATCTGCAAAAACCAACTCAGCCACCTGAAACAAAAATGCTAATTGGATTTTACACCTCATTAAAAAGCCCTGCCAAAGGAACCTAATCCTGTTTTCAGAGGCACAAGAAAATGGTTTTTATGCACTAGAGCAGTGGTGCAAGTTGTCAGACAGCCCTACCCTCATCACAGCTTGGAGCTAGAGGGAAGCCTGACTGTGGCACTGGTGCTGTGCTCTGGGATGTCCTCAGCACCTTCAAAAATCAGAGATTGAATTGTCAAGCAATCACCTGTCCCCCTAATCCAGAGCCCATTTCCAATCTCATTTGAACAAGTGCTAATCTGGCACGGTCCTCCTGAAACCCAGGGAGTCACACCAGCCCCCAGGTGGGTGTCACC